AACAAGTGGATTGATGTACCTCCTGTTCCTGGGGCTCTAGTAGTTAACATTGGAGATCTTCTACAGGCAAGTACAGCTACTCTTCTTCTTCTTCATTTTTTTTTTCTTTAATTGAAAGGGAGATGTTATTTGGCTGTAGTAGTATATACTATTATTGTACTAGAATATGTCTCAAATTCTTCCATCTGGTTTCCTCATTTGGGTTTTTTTATACTTATTTTTAATTTTTTTTCAATGGTTGAGTTCTTTTGGGGTTGCAGCTTATATCAAATGAAAGATTCAAGAGTGTACAGCACAGGGTACTGGCGAACCATGTAGGTCCAAGAGTATCGGTTGCAAGTTTCTTTAGCACAGGTATGCTACCATTGGGGAGACTCTATGGACCTATCAAAGAACTATTATCAGAAGACAACCCCCCAAAGTACAGGGAGACAACTATAAGGGAATATAATGCCCACTTCAATGACAAAGGCCTTGATGGGACCTCTGCCTTGACTCATTTTGAGCTTTGAACTTGGAGATAGAGGAGCAGTACAGCCCTGGACAAATATTTATCAGCCTCTTCTTTAAATTTTCATAAAATCTCTCTTTTGTGCTTAGGTAATAATGTTCATGCAGTTGTTAAATCATGTTTGCCAACAAAAGTGGATTGTTTGTACATGCCTGATGCAGGACATATGTCAAAGTAATTATCGTAGATATTTGTCTTGGCTGCTCATTGCAAAAGTGTATTGGGAATATTTGGACTTCTCTTTTATGTCTTGTGCTCATTGCAAAGTTATATTCTTTGCAAAAATATACACTTATGATCTGAATCATATGTATTAGTCTGATATCCACTATAAAATTTAAGTTTTACTAGCAACAAAAATGGTAGCTACCAATCCAAATGAGATTCCAACCAAGTATGACAGATGTTAATGCTCAAAAATTGTTCAGTACTTTTGAGCCCAACTTAGTGATATTTTGATCTTCGGCACCTTCTCGGCTTCGGTAGAGCGATTGATTTGCAAGATAGAAAATGCTCGGTACGCCCTTGAGCACCGGTGTGGTACCGGCCGAAGGATCTCCGATGCTAAAGTAAGAATAAGTACGGAGTGTGTAGTAATCTGGACAGACTAATGACTGATTTGCCGAAAGTCTCAGTTACCTCCTTTTTGGGACTTGTGCCCACTTTTATAAATCTTGGGAGGTGTGCATGAGTGAAACTTCGATGTGGGACTGTTGATATTGCATCTGGTGGCTCCACGTGTCCTAGCAAGAAAGGATGGGTAAGAGGTCTTGTGTTGCGTTCGGTAGTAAGGGGTGCCGAACACTACCCTACCGATTGCATCTTATTTTCCACGTGTGATCTTCTCATTGGTCGCTCCCAAGAGAGTTTAGGTCCAAGAGTATCGGTTGCAAGTTTCTTTACCACAGGTATGCAACCATTGGGAAACTCTATGGACCTATCAAAGAACTATTTTCAGAAGACAACCCTCCAAAGTACAAGGAGACAACTATAAGGGAATATAATGCCCACTTCAATGACAAAGGCCTTGATGGGACCTCTGCCTTGACTCATTTTGAGCTTTGAACTTGGAGATAGAGGAGCAGTACAGCCCTGGACAAATATTTATCAGCCTCTTCTTTAAATTTTCATAAAATCTCTTTGTTGTGGTTAGGCAATAATGTTCATGCAATTGTTAAATCATGTTTGCCAACAAAAGTGGATTGTTTGTACATGCCTGATGCAGGACATATGTCAAAGTAATTAACATTGATATATGTCTTGGCCTGCTCATTGCAAAAGTGTATTGGGAATATTTGGACTTCTTTTTTATGTCTTGTGCTTATTGCAAAGTTATATTCTTTGCAAAAATATACACTTCTGATATGAGTCATATGTATTTAGTCTGATATCCACTATAAATTTAAGCTTTACCAGCAACAAAAATGGTAGCTACCAATCCAAATGAGATTCCAGCCAACTATGACAGATGTTGATGCTAAAAAATGGTTCAGCACTTTTGGGCCCAACTTAGTGATGTTTTGACCTTCGTCACCTTCTCGGCTCCGGTAGAGCGATCAATCTGCAAGATAAAAAACGCTCGATAAGCCCTTGGGCACCGGTGTGGTACCGGCCGAAGGCTCTCCGATACTTAAGTAAGAATAAGTACGGAGTGTGTAGTAATCTGGACAAAGTAATGGCTGAATTGCCAAAAGTCTCTATTACCTCCTTTTTGGCACTTATGCCCTAATTTATAAGTCTTGGGAGGTGTGGATTTTGAGTGAAACTTCGATGTAGGACTGTTGATATTGCCCGTGGTGGCTCCACTTGTCCCAGCAAGAAAGGATGGGTAAGAGGTCTTGTGTTGCGTTCGGCAGTAAAGGGTGTCGAACACTCCCTTACCGATTGTGTCTTATTTTCCATGTGTGATCTTCTCATTGATCATATAGGGTATAAACAATCAAAACAATTGCGTCTTATTTTCCTACAGCTTTAGCTCAAGCGACAGAGCCCAATCAAAATGACTGCAACTCTTTTGACCGTCCATTTCCTTCACTACTTTTGCATCTTTAAGTGAGCCCATGTTGAAGCTTCTTAATGTATATGGTTCTGATTTCCTTAGAAATATTCTCTTCACTTCACAAAAAGTCTTATGGTGAAGGTTGGATAGAGGTGTTGATAGAGTAAGCGCGAAGGCAAGAAGAACAATAGGGGAAGGTCAAAATCTGAGGCAAAAGATGGTTGCTTTGAGTGCTAATCAAAAGATCATTGGAAGAAGAATTGTCCTATATTGAGAGAGAAGAGAAATGAAAGGGAGAAGCCAGATGAAGCCAGGATCGTGGAAAACAATGATGGTGAGCTTTTATTTATTGATATCATTATTACTACTGATGCACTTGCTATATCTTCTAGGGTTTCATCTTCATATTGGATTTTGGATTCCTGGTGATCATATCATATGTGTTCAAACAAATCTTGGTTTGACACATATGAGGTGAAAAAAGTTGTAATGGGGAATGGCTTGGTTTGTAGAGTCAAAGGAACAAGTATAATCAAGGTGAAGATGTATGACGGCGTGGTTAGGACATTGGGTATGGTTAGGTACATACCAAAATTGAAGAAGAATCTCATCTCCCTCAATACTTTTGACAAAAATGGTTATTCCTACAAAGCCATGGGAGGTAAGCTTCTAAAAGGAGTACACAATTGCAATATCAAGTTCTTCAAGTATTGTACCATGGGGAAGCAGTCGCAAGTGACATTCAAGCAACAAGACAAAGAGAATAAGACCACGAGATTGCTTGATTATATTCACTTGGATGTATGGGGCCCCGCATTGGTTAAGTCATTGGGTGGAGCTCGCTACTACATCATATTCTTGGATGATTTTTCTAGGAAGGTTTGGGTCTATTTCATGGAGGAGAAATATGAGGTCTTCACCAAATTCAAGGAGTGGAAGGCGGAAGTAGAGAACCTTACGGGAAGAAAGATCAAGATCTTAAGAAGTGATAATGGAGGAGAATATAAAGATAGCGATTTTTTGGAGTTTTGCAAGAGCGAGGGTGTCAAGAGGCATTTTACAGTGAGGAAGATGCCCCAACAAAATGGAGCCGCAGAGAGGAGGACTAGAACTCTCATGGAGCGTGAGAGGTGCATGAGGATTCATGCTGGCTTGCTCGAGGTGTTTTAGATGGGGGCGGTTTACCACGCTTCCTCTTTGGTTAACGGGTCGCCATCGAAGTATCTTGATTTCAAGTGTGCGGAAGAGGTATGGTCAAATAAATCTATTGAGTATACTAATTTTAAAGTATTTGGATGCAACGTTTATTCTCTCATACCCAGTGATGAGAAAACTAAGTTGAAACTAAACTCTCTTGAGTGCATTTTCCTAGGCTTTGAGAGCGGTGTGAAAGTTTTCAAGTTATGGGTTCTAGTTAATTCGAAGAAAATGCTCAGTAGGATGTAGTGTTTGATGAGAAGACCATGCTTATGATTAAAATCAAGAAACCGGAGGCGAATGATGATGTTGTTAGCATGAAGATAGCTGTTAATATTTCACCACGGAGTGTTCTGGGATACTCTAAGAATGCAGCCAATTGAAGATGTTCATGAGGTGGTGGAGTCCGACACTTAAGATGAAGAAGAAAAAGAGGCTCAAGATGAGGTGGAGCCGTCATCTATAGCTAGATCCAGGCCCAAGAGAACAATCAAACTTCTTCAAAGGTTTGGATGGGACACAAACGTAGTTCACTATGCTTTAAGCATGAGTGAAGAAGATCCAACCACGTTCTAAGAAGCAATTGAGAGTTCAGAGCGAAAAGTTGGATAGGTGCTATGATGGATGAGATAGAATCTCTACACCAGAACTCTGTATGGAAGTTGGTTCCTAAACCCAAAGATCAGAAGGTGTCGGCTGCAAGTGGATATTTAGAAAGAAGGAAGGGATACATGAGAAAGAGCCAACTATATTCAAAGCTCGTCCAGTGGCCAAGGGGTACCTACAAAAGGAAGGAGTTGATTATGATGAAATATTTCCCCCGGTTGTAAAGCATACTTCTATATGGTTGTTGCTCTCCATGGTGGCACAATGGGATGTGGAGGTGGAACAAATGGATGTGAATACAACCTTCCTTCATGGAGGCTTAGAGGAAGACATCTATATGAGTCAACCTCAAGGTTTCATTGAAGCAAGTAAAGGAAATCTGGTTTGTAGGTTGAAGAAGTCATTATATGGGCTTAAGCAATCTCCAAGACAGTGGTACAAACGCTTTGACACCTATATGTTGCGGATTAGGTATAGAAGATGTGAATCGGATTGTTTCCTGTGCTCTCGTGTGTTCAAGGATAGGAAGATCATCATGTTGATACTTTATGTAGATGATGTGGTCTGCTCGCTGGGGAGCTTTGACTAGCATATTGTCCACGTAGACCTTCATAGTCTTGCCCATTTGCTTCTTGAAAATTTTGTTTACTAGCCTTTGGTAGATTGTTCCAGCGTTCTTCAGCTCAAAGGGCATGACTTTGTAACATTATGTTCCTCGTTTAATGATGAAGCATAGCAGTTGATGGCCGAAAGTTGAAGCAACGAGCTGATCAATTCTTGGAAATGGAAAGTTGTCTTTTAGGCATGCCTTGTTGAGGTCAGTTTAGTCAACACAAACTCTCCACAGGCCCTTATGTTTCTTTGCTACTAGAATAATGTTCGCCAGCCATTCTACTTAAGAGACTTCTTCTATGAAACTGGTAGCTAGGAGCTTGTCAATGTCGACTTCGATGATGGCGACTCGCTCAGGAGAAAAGTTGCGTTGCTTTTGCCCTATGGCTTGACAGCCGGGTTGACATGAAGGCGATGATAGATGATTTGGGGACCAATGCCTGGCATGTTGGATGGCGACCACACAAATACGTCTTTGTTGTTTTGGAAGAAAACAAAAAGCTCTGACTTCTCCTCACGAGCCGATCCACACCTTTCTCACTGGCCTATCAGGATCTAAGGGTACTAGCTCGATGTCATTTTCAAATTTCCATCCTTCTTCAGGAGAGACCTTCGGACGAATTCCCTCGACTAGGTCCTGATGCTTTGATTGCTATAGAGGGTAGCTATTCCATTTCCTTTATGGTTTGCTCAGTCCCTAGTAGCGAGATCCATTTGTTTTACTCCCTTTATATTTGCTTGATTCACAAGGAAGAATTGTGTTTGCTTGCTTTTCTTCAACCCTTGAGCCGAGCATTTCATCGCCATTACCTAATCGCAGTTGATCTGGCCGACACTGCCCCCAAGGATTGGGTAGCGGATTTTCTGATGTATGGCGGAGGTGATGGCGTTGATCTTGCTGATCCATGGTCTGCACAAAATGCCGTTGTAGGGTGAGACTTCATCAATGACCATGAATGTTTGCAAGCTAATTATAGGTGGGGAGTAGACGTCGAGATCTATCGTGCCCACGGTAACCGTTGTTGCGCCATTGAAGCTAGTCAGTAACCTGGCTGATTTGTTGATCTTTGTCTCCAAGCCTATTTGCTGGATGACTGCCAGTTGCAGGATATTGACTGCGCTACCCTCGTCTGCATGGATTCGGTCGACCATGGCCTAAGCAATTTGAATGCTGATGACAAGGGCATCGTTGTGTGGCACATCGAGGCCGATTAGATCTTTCTTTTGGAAGCCGATCATGGGATCGTCTTCTGTTGGTGGAAGGCCGGTCTAGATTTGGGAGATTACAGTGGCCTGTTTGATCTTCCTCTTATTTTCTTTGCTGGTTAGCCAAAACTCCTCTGATTCGGCTAGGATTGTGTTAATCCTTATGACCTTCTAGGGTGGCTCCTTGGTGGTATCGTTATCCTCAATATGTTGGATGGCTTGCTTTGCAATGAATTCCGTGCAGTAACCTTCTCTCACGAGTTCTTCGAGGTGCGCTTTCTAAGCCAAGCAGTTATTCGTACTATGCTCGTGCGTTCCATGAAAGGCACAATATTTTCTAGTATCTCTCTTGTCAGGATCTTATTTCAAGAGCGGCGGTCTTCTTACCCAATGTTTGTCCTTCACTTGGGCTAAGATTTGATGTATGGGGATGGAGAACTTGGTGTAGTTTTCTTCTACCGTAGCATCTCTTTATGGATATGATCTACATTTGTCCTTGTTCTTGTTGCTAAACTTGTCGCTTCTTTGGCTTGTCCGCTTGGTTGGCTAATCTTCTTGTTTAGTAGACTTCTTCACGACGATTCAATCATCAACCCAGAGCACGTAGAGTTCTGCGGTCGCGAAGACCTTTGTCATAGTTTGGCTGGGAGTGATAGTCAACTCGCGGTATAAGTCGTGCTCAGCTGGAAGACTTTCCTTGAAAGCAGAGGACGCGATTCAATCGTCGCATCCTATAATGTTGGTTTTTTCTGCTTTGAATCTCTTGATGTAATCTTAAAGGGATTCATCGAACTTTTGGCGCAGGTTGTACAAATGGTCAGGGTTCTTCTTCATCGTCTAGTAAGAAGTGTTTGGTGAAGAAGTAAGCTAGCTCCTTGAAGCTGCTGATCGACCCGGATGGTAGGGTGTGAAACCAGTCTTGGGTTGCTCCTCGCAAGGCCATTGCAAACGCCTTGTACATTAGCGCGTCGTCGGCCTTGTAGAGGATCATAACACTTTTGAAGTGTTTCATTGAATGCTGATGACAAGGGCATCGTTGTGTGGCACATCGAGGCCGATTAGATCTTTCTTTTGGAAGCCGATCATGGGATCGTCTTCTGTTGGTGGAAGGCCGGTCTAGATTTGGGAGATTACAGTGGCCTGTTTGATCTTCCTCTTATTTTCTTTGCTGGTTAGCCAAAACTCCTCTGATTCGGCTAGGATTGTGTTAATCCTTATGACCTTCTAGGGTGGCTCCTTGGTGGTATCGTTATCCTCAATATGTTGGATGGCTTGCTTTGCAATGAATTCCGTGCAGTAACCTTCTCTCACGAGTTCTTCGAGGTGCGCTTTCTAAGCCAAGCAGTTATTCGTACTATGCTCGTGCGTTCCATGAAAGGCACAATATTTTCTAGTATCTCTCTTGTCAGGATCTTATTTCAAGAGCGGCGGTCTTCTTACCCAATGTTTGTCCTTCACTTGGGCTAAGATTTGATGTATGGGGATGGAGAACTTGGTGTAGTTTTCTTCTACCGTAGCATCTCTTTATGGATATGATCTACATTTGTCCTTGTTCTTGTTGCTAAACTTGTCGCTTCTTTGGCTTGTCCGCTTGGTTGGCTAATCTTCTTGTTTAGTAGACTTCTTCACGACGATTCAATCATCAACCCAGAGCACGTAGAGTTCTGCGGTCGCGAAGACCTTTGTCATAGTTTGGCTGGGAGTGATAGTCAACTCGCGGTATAAGTCGTGCTCAGCTGGAAGACTTTCCTTGAAAGCAGAGGACGCGATTCAATCGTCGCATCCTATAATGTTGGTTTTTTCTGCTTTGAATCTCTTGATGTAATCTTAAAGGGATTCATCGAACTTTTGGCGCAGGTTGTACAAATGGTCAGGGTTCTTCTTCATCGTCTAGTAAGAAGTGTTTGGTGAAGAAGTAAGCTAGCTCCTTGAAGCTGCTGATCGACCCGGATGGTAGGGTGTGAAACCAGTCTTGGGTTGCTCCTCGCAAGGCCATTGCAAACGCCTTGTACATTAGCGCGTCGTCGGCCTTGTAGAGGATCATAACACTTTTGAAGTGTTTCAGATGGCTCTCGGGATCGAAATCCCCTTTGAAATGTGTGAACAAAGGCATTGAGAATAGCCTTAGGAGAGCAGCCTGCTCGATTTCAGCAGTGAAAAAAGTATAGTTTGCTTGGTCCACCTCCCAGCATAGATCATCTTCAAAATTTCAGCCAATCTTTTAGTTTCAAAGTCGTTTTCAGGTGGGGATGACTGATTCCTTGTTGACTCGCAGAGGTCAACCTCCTTAGTTGTCTTACCTGTGGGGCAGATTAGTAGATTGAGCTTGCGAGGATTCCTCCACAAGTTGTCATCGTGAGTTGGTTCTCGAGCGGGTTGGTGAGTGTTGGTAGTTGTGTTCGTCATGCAGTTCTTCACGGACTCTTGCCCTTTGTGGGCCCAACCTAGAATGGTTACTTCTTTGCGGGCCCAAGCAAGCATGGATATGGACTGTATGCCGAACCTCTCTTGCACATTGGTCCTTGGCCCTAACATTGAATGGATTATCGACTGGCTCATAGTACGGCTTGCAGATATCTGCATCTCTTCAGCACGACCTCGTTCTCTGCCTTGCCTATTTGTCCTTGTTCGACTAGTCTGGGATCTCTCAAGAGGCTCGTTGGTATGCTCGCGGATCCTTCTCTCCTCGTCACGGGCTCCAAGGTCAGGGCCTTGATTCAAGTTGACCTACCTGAGTAGTTGGCCAATTAGATTGTTTTGGTCGTCGACCCTCTGCGGGAGTTGATCAACTCGTGAATTAAGGCCCACTTGACTGCGCAGGTCGGGTAGAGAGGTGTGGATCGGGCCTAATAGCATATGGGCTAGGGCTCCATGAGATGCACACACAAGTGCATACGTCAAGTGTGGTTGCAAAGGAGGGAACGTTTGGTTTTGTTCCAAAATGGCGTCGTCGCTTGGTCCTCACGGTGGCAAGGTGGAGAAAGCCACGGGGTAGTGGCTTGGTGCAGCCTTGAGCGGTGCGGCAATTCCAGCTGCTATTTGGTGGTTCATGGAGGTGATTTGCGGCTGCGAGGAGCTATCCAAAAGGTTTGGTGGCTGTCCAGTTACTACAATCGCTATTTGGAGAGGTTGTGAGGCCTCCGGAGGTGGTTGGATGGCATGGGAGCCACAGGGGGCTGCTGGAAAGCGTTGGCAGCCATGGGAGGCTGCTGCAAAATGCTGGCAGCAGCTGTACCTCTTGGTGGCAGCAAGGTTTCGGCCATTCCAGAGTGCCACTACTACAAAAAGTGAAAAAGACGACCAGAAAAACACGACGGTCTAAGTGAAAACCGTCGTTGTTTTTTAAAAGACGACGGTTTTATAAAACCGCCGTGTAATAACACCTTAGACAACCAAAAAATGGAGATTCAAATGGTTGTTCCTAAAACATGACGTACTTAATTAAAAAACCGACGTCTTATTGAAATAGGATTTTCAAGTGAAAAATCAGAGCCAACAAATAACGGCGGAAGTTATGAACCGACCGACGTAGAAAGTAAAGACGACGATTTCAAAAAAAGCC